AGTATTCAAACCCCTTCATTTTTTTTCACGTTTTGTTATGTTGCAGCCGTATGATAAACTGCTTTAAATTACTTTTTAAATTACACCATAATGACAACTGATTTTTAACATCTTTGCAAATTTATTAAAGATAAAAAACTTAAATGATTCCATTTCATCTGGGACAGTTGAAATTTAGCTGAGGAGCATTAATTTTGCTTGTAAATGATACCACACTTTGAGTGAAGCTAACCTGTGGCCAATTTAATTGAATGGGTATGATTTGGAAAGGCACACATGTCTTAATAAAAGGTCTCACAGCTGAAAATGCATATTAGAGTAAAGACCAAGCCCTGAGGTAAAAAAAAAAAAACTGCCTGTAGAGCTCAGAGACAGGATTGTATCAAACCCCACATCTGGGGAAGAGTTCAGAAAAAATTCTGCTGCATTGAAGGTTCAAAGAAGCATGTAGCCTCCATTATCCATAATGGAAGACGTTTGGAACAACCAGGACTCTGAGCTGGCCTCCTGGCCAAACTGAGCAATTGATGGAGAAGGGCTTTGGTTAGTGTGGTGAACAAGAACCTGATGGTCACTCTAGTTGAGCTCCATGATCATATGTGGAGATAGGAAAAACCTACAGAATGACAAACATTGCTGCAACACTCCACCAATCTGTGCTTTATGTTGGTGTGGCTAGACTCAATCCCCTCCTCAGTGAAGACACGTGATAACCAGTGTTGGGGGTAACGCATTACAAGTAACGCAAGTTACGTAATCAGATTACTTTTGTCAAGTAACTAGTAAAGTAACGCATTACTTTTTAATTTACAAGAGAATATCTAAGATACTTTTTCAAATAAGTAACGCAAGTTACTTTTTTTCCAATTTAGTGATTGACAGCTCTCCTGTCCCCATGTTGAGAGAAATCAGAAGATGCTACTGTAGTTCTAAAATAAATATGAATATGCATTAATTCATCTCACTCACAAAATAAAAAAACATTCAATATTCCTCAAAATGAATTAAAAAAATGCTCAGAATATACTCAGAATTTAACGCAAACCTTCAATAATTAAATGTTAAACAACACAAATATCCTTTATGTATTTAAATTCATTCTATTAACCAATGTCTTTGCTTCTGACCTTCGATGATCCAGTTCAACCGTACTAATAAGCACAAATTACTCTAGACAAACATTTATGTGTTTTTTTTTATTGCTGAAGTGTGTTGAAATGTCTTCTTCTGCATTCTACTGTACGGACGTAAATTTACTTTCCCTTCAGCCTGAGGCTTATTCATTTCACTTTTGGTGTGAAAAGGCTTTTATATTTGCCAAAAATAGAACTTTTTTATTTTAAAAACAAACAAGCAAGCCCTGTCCAGATTTAAAAAGTAATGCAAAAGTAACGTTACGCATTACTTTCCATAAAAAGTAACTAAGTAACATAATTAGTTACTTTTTTATGGAGTAACGCAATATTGTAATGCATTACTTTTAAAAGTAACTTTCCCCAACACTGGTGATAACACACTTGGAATTTGCAAAAAAAGCACCTAAAGGACCCTCAGACTGTGAGAAACAAGATTCTCTGGTCTGATGAACCTCAATTCCAAGCATCATGTTTGAAGGAAACCAGCTCTGCTCATCACCTGCAGAGTACCATCTCAAAAGTAAAGTGTGCTAGTAGCAGCCTCATGCTGTGGGGCTGTTTTTCAGCAGCAGAGACTGAGGGACACATCGGAGTAGAAGAAAAGCTCAATGCACGAAAATATAAAAGATAGCCTTAATGAAAACCCAGTCCAGAGCATTCAGAACCTCAGGACAATGACCCTATGCACACAGCAAGAGTGGCTTATAGACAACTCTGTGAATGTGATTGAGTGGCCCAGCCACAGCCTGGACTTGAACCCAATCAAATGTTTCTGGAGAAACCTGAAAATGTGCATCTGCCCCCATCCAACCTGACAGAGCTTGAGAGGTGAACAGGTGAGGTGAAGAATGGCAGATAATTGCCAAATGCTTATGTGCAAAGCTTGTCGCATCATACCCCAAAATAATTGAGGCTGTAAAGGTGCTTCAGCTAAGTATTGAGTGTATTGCAATGTACTTATTTCAGTTGATTTTATAATTTTTTTTATAAATGTACAAAGTTGTGACAGTTCTGTTTTTGCTTTGTCAGTATGGTGTATGGAGTGTAGATTGATGTGGGAAAAAAGTAATTTAAAGCAGTTTAACATAAGGCTGCTTCATAACAAAACGTGAAAAAAATGAAGGGGTTTGAATACTTTCGCAAGGCACTGTATATATATATGTATATACAAGTGTATTTATTTATATTT